GAAAGTGTCAAAGAGAACAGGTGGAGAATAGGTTGATCAAGTTACACAAAGTTGCTTGTACATAAAGGTTTACATATACAAGGTGTTCGTCTAAAATGATTAATAATGTAATATGAGACAAGTGTTTTAGAGTCATTAAAAGCACATGGGAGGGGTAACGGAGAACAACTAAACCTGATACACATTTTAAAATCATATTTTCATCTTTTCTTCTTCCTAGTAGCCGAATATAGCGTGGAATTGAAACAAAATCTCCTGCACAATCATGTTTTGGACTAAAACGTTATTCAGTATTTCAGATTTATTGGGTGAGGTTCTGGGAGGTGTTTCACTAACCCTAATCTTCATGACAACCAATAGAAATGAGTCTAGCCTGCTGAATTTAGCGGAACTCACAGCGTCTGACCAATCAAATGTGAGATACGTAGTCGCCAGGACAACAAGTATATAAAGTGAGGTCAGTCCGTTACAACGTTATTATTCTTACATCGACCCCTCGTTGTCGAACTGTAAGATCCCTCCGTTGAGAATCTTTCTCGTCCGGCCAAGCAACACTTCCAGAAACAATGGTGAGCATTTATTTCATACAGAGGTTCTACTTCATATTGCTTATTTATAGAAAACATCATTTTCATTCAACTTATTTACAGTGTATTATGCGTAGCCTATATTAATATTTCGATTATGAAATAGAATAGCCTACGGAACAATACACCTTTTTACGTATCTGTACAAAACGAGCGGTAGGCTACATTCTCTAAAATGATTTTGTTTATGTAAATTATGTATTTAAATGTTTTATTGTTATGCTAATGTGTGTATTTAAATGTGCGCATTTTACGTTTAGTCATCTATGCATTAATAACCTAAGAAAGAATGTGAAAAATAAGAAAGGTATTATTAGAGATGTGATGCACGCTAGACAACAAAGAGAAAAGTGCCGCATAAATGATCTGGGTGTAGCCGTCTCCTCCATACTGTCCGGTATGGTGTCATTTTGAATCATGGACAAAAAAACGAGATGCAGCGCCTCCCACAGGATATGGTCGTTGGTCAATTATTTATTTATTTATTTATTTATTTATTTTAATCATATGTCCTATTCATAGAGGTCCTATTACGAATGTATTTAAAAAAAAAAAAAAAAAAAAAACTTTATTATGCGCGATTCATTTTAAAGTGATTTAAAATTAACCCAAAAATGAAAATTGTGTCATCATAGAGGCTACTTACTCTCAAGTTGCTCTAAACCTGTATGAATTTCGTTTTTAACCAAACATTTGATGGGCCCATCAAAGGCATTCTTCAAAATATCTTCTTTTGTGTTGAGCAGAAGAAAAAAATTCATACAGGTTCGGAACATCTTGAGGTTGATAAATGATGATTTTCATTTTTTAGTGAACTATGCCTTTATTCTGAAAAATCGTATCACATATCAGGGCTGTTGGTTTGGTGAGGCTGTTAAATATTCATGATGATGTAGGCAGCATCACTAATGCAGCTGATGGACATTACCAGTAAACCAGCAGTTGAGGGTGTAATGTGATCTCACGATATCCAACATGATATCTCACTGGGATTCGACTGCACAGAAACAAGATATACAGGCTGTAGCCTTAGAAGTTTAGATGTGAGATGAAATAAATAAAGCTTAGCTTCACAAGAGAGTGATATTTATATGTTTTATTCTTTAGTTAGATTTTAAACTTTGCCCTTTCCTTCACAGCGTGAGTGCATCTCGATCCACGTTGGTCAAGCTGGAGTCCAGATTGGCAATGCCTGCTGGGAACTCTATTGTCTTGAGCATGGCATCCAGCCGGATGGACAGATGCCCAGTGACAAGACCATCGGTGGAGGCGATGACTCTTTCAACACCTTCTTCAGTGAGACTGGAGCTGGAAAGCACGTCCCCAGGGCTGTGTTTGTAGACCTTGAGCCCACTGTCATTGGTAAGAGGATAAGACTTCATTTTATCTGTGATATGGTGTGTGCCAGAGTACTCAGTTTACTAAACATTTTACTCATGACCTATCTGTCCAGATGAGGTGCGCTCTGGGACATACCGTCAGCTGTTCCACCCTGAGCAGCTCATCACAGGAAAGGAAGATGCTGCTAACAACTACGCTCGTGGTCACTACACTATTGGAAAAGAAATCATTGACCTGGTGCTGGACAGGATTCGCAAACTGGTAGGTAGTTGTATATAAACAAACATAAAATGAATTATATATTATGTTTGGTTACTGACCAACAGGTTTTCTTCTCAGGCTGACCAGTGCACAGGCCTCCAGGGTTTCCTGGTGTTCCACAGCTTTGGTGGTGGAACCGGTTCTGGCTTCACTTCTCTGTTGATGGAGCGTCTGTCTGTGGACTATGGCAAGAAGTCCAAGCTTGAGTTCTCCATCTACCCTGCTCCTCAGGTCTCCACCGCTGTGGTAGAGCCTTACAACGCCATCCTGACCACCCACACCACCTTAGAGCACTCTGACTGTGCCTTCATGGTAGACAATGAGGCCATTTACGATATCTGCCGTAGGAACCTCGACATTGAGCGTCCTACTTACACTAACCTCAACAGGCTCATTGGCCAGATTGTGTCCTCCATCACAGCCTCGCTCAGGTTTGATGGTGCCCTCAATGTCGATCTCACCGAGTTCCAGACCAACTTGGTGCCTTATCCCCGTATCCACTTCCCTCTGGCTACCTACGCCCCAGTGATCTCCGCAGAGAAGGCTTACCATGAGCAGCTCTCTGTGTCTGAGATCACTAATGCTTGCTTCGAGCCGGCCAATCAGATGGTGAAATGTGACCCACGTCACGGCAAGTACATGGCTTGCTGCCTGCTGTACCGTGGTGATGTTGTGCCCAAAGATGTGAACGCTGCAATCGCCACCATCAAGACCAAGCGCACCATCCAGTTTGTGGACTGGTGTCCCACTGGTTTCAAGGTTGGCATCAACTACCAGCCTCCCACTGTGGTTCCAGGAGGTGATCTGGCTAAAGTGCAGAGGGCCGTGTGCATGCTGAGCAACACAACAGCTATTGCTGAGGCCTGGGCTCGTCTGGATCATAAGTTCGATCTGATGTACGCCAAGCGCGCCTTTGTGCACTGGTATGTGGGTGAGGGTATGGAGGAGGGCGAGTTCTCAGAGGCCAGAGAGGACATGGCTGCCCTGGAGAAAGATTACGAGGAGGTCGGTGTCGACTCCATAGAGGGTGAAGGAGAGGAAGAGGGCGAGGAGTATTAAATGACAGAAAGAAGTGTGATATAGGAACCATGAAATGGGAAAATTGAATGAAATGAAGATTCATTGAAAATTAAACCTTATGACCAATAAAAATCATGTTGTTACAGTTTTTTTTGACATATGAAATAAACCTTCTTTCAAACTAATTAAAGGGTGTCTTGTGTTAAATTGTTGTGTATAATTATATGAATCATGTATAACATATAGCCTAACAATAGTGGTGGTTTAAAGATCAAACAGCAGAAGTATATAACTATAATTAAAATGTATAAAAAGCTTTGAAAAAAAAGTCTCGCACTGTCCATATGCTCTCACACATCCAAAATATTGATCAATCAGTATTTTTCAACCTCGAAAACAAGTGAATAAAACTGGAGAACAATATAGTTACTGTTACCTCAGGAAATGACCATGCATGTTAGTTGGTTACAAAAACAGAAAGGAGTATTTTGCTAAATATGTGCAAAATACTTGTTGTTATTATAATAAAAAGCACATTATATTTCATTTGAGTTGTTATTTTTAACCCTTTATAGTAATACCAGCTGACAGGAATCTCTGTATTTTTACAGCATTCGATGATTTTCTTTTTCTTGAGAAAAAATAACATGTATCCATTGTAGCTAATAATTATCCAAATGTTCGATATTGAATCAAGATTGGAATCAAATCACAAGAATTTAATTAATTGGATTGAAATCATGGAATTCGTATCAAGCCAGAACAACAGTATTGCACCATGTAAACTTTAACATGTTGTCACTAAACTTAATAAAACTCAGTTTAGTCATCAAATGTTTTGACAACCACAATACACGGTGGTGCAATTTTTTTTACATCCCCCCCATTTCACCCCTATCCATAATTATCACTCTCTAAGCTAAACAGTTAAACTCAAAACAGTTGGCAGCCCTGCATGAACACACAACATAGAGCAGCATTAGCCTACACAATAACATTCTGAACATTCCTGCTGTAAATTACAATAATTTTAATGAAAGACTTTTTTGACTATTGTAACTATTTTTATTCTTTATGCAGTTTTAAAACAGATCTCTTCTCTGCAGCAACATTTCCATGAGAACAATTCAGTCTGTGTAACTATGTGGGCAGTGCAGATATAGCATTACATTTCATGCAAATGCCATCATCGTGTGGTATTTTGATGAATACATAATTATAATATGAAGGGGGGGAAATGGGTGTATTTTACTCATTACAATTAAAACCATTATCCGAATTACTGAGACAGTTTAGTCATGCCAAGTCTATGATTAATGATATAAACGCTGCCTTTTTTCAATTGGCAGGTAATTATGTAAGCAAATAATAACCAATGCACTTATTGTCAAAGACTTGCTTAACTGGTCAGCTAATGAAAAATAAATGCAAAATTCAACAGCCATCTATGCCCATAATTATGTGCAGTGCTACACACCCTATTTTAAACAAAACAAAAACCAATCAAAGACAAAATGAGGTTAATTTTCTTTTCTTTTATTAAAAGGTCCCTTTTATTACCAACATTATCATTACATACTCAAGTTCGTAGACATCGTACCGCCTTGGCTTGTACAGATTTCTAAAACAAACAGTTATGGTTCAATTGTTGGAGTCAGCCAATGGGGTGTCACTGATTCTCAAGAGAACCAATGGGAATGTGACAGGAAGCGAAACGTCTCCTCGCGCTCGCTCCGCCTAGTGACGACTGACAGGAAAAGTATAAATATTCCCAGCCCGGAGTTTTTACACAGTTCTTCTCTCACCAGACTCATAAAAGTCAACCTGTGAGAGCGTTAATAACAGAAAAAAACTTCGGTTTTCTATCTCCTCGTTTTTAAGCGAAATATTCAATTTTTAAAAATGGTGAGTATAAAGCTGTTTTTAAATTGTGTAATTTATAAAAGAGGTAGACCCTGGTACTGTTATTTATCATTAAGGAGTGTTTTACGTCGTCTGTGATAACTGTTCTTTTACTGTCCATTTACAATTATGGATTATTATTTTAAATTTTGGTGATATACTTTGGTTCAGATTTTTTTTAAGCATAAAGTATAACCTACGAAATAATATTGGTTTTATTTATGTATTTGAATTTGCGGTTAATTAATTCTAATATATATATATTTTTTTTAATTTTCTTGTTTTTTTTTTATTATTATTTTTTAACATGTTTAATTGATTGAATTCCAAGGAAATAAGTTCAAATGTATCTGATAGAAACATGAAGTCCGTGAAACTTGGTATAATTTGGTGAACAATTTAAAAAAAAAATGTGCCGTTTTTTACCTTGAAATGAAAAATAAAAACGCAAATCTCATTGTCAAGGTCGCTGTTAAGAGGTAAGAGTATTTTTACAGTGAAATATCCTGCTTTTGTTCTGATGATTCTGCACAGTCACATCTTTAGCAGTGTGCTACCCGGCACAGGAAGTGAGTCAGGAGGACCACGTGCGTTCTAATGGAACTTGATGAATTCCTGTGCTCTTGTGTCAACGAGTTTAAGCCTTAATACGTTCCTCATGGTTACGCTTAGTGGCCATCTGGTTCATGCACATGACCAGCCTAAAACAGAGAGGTGTTTAACCCAATTCAGATTTGTCTAGTTAATATTCTATTTAATATATTCCATTACTAAAATTAACGTTGTAGCTTGGTTTGAGTGCGGTTTTACATTGTGTGTGCTTCAAATTCCATTTTAAGTGTTTAATGAAACTCCTAAAAGTTTTTTGTACTTCTAATATACTTTAAATTTTGATGATGTCATTTTAAAGGAATGCAGGCTACACTATAATAAAGCAAAGCCAGCCCCGCCCCTCCTGCTTTGAAACAAGGGCTGGTCTGTTTCATCAGCTGTTTGTGTGGTCAGGGTTTTGTGCAACTATAGCAGTTTCTGATTTGCAGTGGAGGCATTTTCCATCAGTGCTTAAAATACTTAAAATAAAAAAAATGCTTGGGTACACAAATCCATTCTTGTATATGTTAACTTGTGCATCAAAGAGCCTTTTGTTCGTTTTAAAAACTAGTAAAAGTGTTTTTAATTTGTGAAGATGTGCAACTGAATGGTTAAATCATTACTTGCAATTGAAGAATGTTGTGTCTATAAATCTTATCTCCTCTCTTCACAGCGTGAGTGCATCTCCGTTCATGTTGGTCAAGCTGGAGTCCAGATTGGCAATGCCTGCTGGGAACTCTATTGTCTTGAGCATGGCATCCAGCCGGATGGACAGATGCCCAGTGACAAGACCATCGGAAGAGGCGATGACTCTTTCAACACCTTCTTCAGTGAGACTGGAGCTGGAAAGCACGTCCCCAGGGCTGTGTTTGTAGACCTTGAGCCCACTGTCATTGGTAAGAGGATAAGACTTCATTTCATCTGTGATATGGTGTGTGCCAGAGTACTCAGTTTACTAAACATTTACTCATGACCTATCTGTTCAGATGAGGTGCGCTCTGGGACATACCGTCAGCTGTTCCACCCTGAGCAGCTCATCACAGGAAAAGAAGATGCTGCTAACAACTACGCTCGTGGTCACTACACTATTGGAAAAGAGCTCATTGATCTAGTTTTAGACAGAATTCGCAAACTGGTGAGTCATTCAAATAACTTCAAAGGCATTGTAATTTAATTGTGTTAAATTATGTTTAATTAAAATAATGCTTGATTGCCTTTTTAACATGAATCATGTCTTTCAGGCTGACCAGTGCACAGGCCTCCAGGGTTTCCTGGTGTTCCACAGCTTTGGTGGTGGAACTGGTTCTGGCTTCACCTCTCTGTTGATGGAGCGTCTGTCTGTGGACTATGGCAAGAAGTCCAAGCTTGAGTTCTCCATCTACCCTGCTCCTCAGGTCTCCACTGCTGTGGTAGAGCCTTACAACGCCATCCTGACCACCCACACCACCTTAGAGCACTCTGACTGTGCCTTCATGGTAGACAATGAGGCCATTTACGATATCTGCCGTAGGAACCTCGACATTGAGCGTCCTTCTTACACTAACCTCAACAGGCTGATCAGTCAAATCGTGTCCTCCATCACAGCCTCGCTCAGGTTTGATGGTGCCCTCAATGTTGATCTCACCGAGTTCCAGACCAACTTGGTGCCTTATCCTCGTATCCACTTCCCTCTGGCTACCTACGCCCCAGTGATCTCCGCAGAGAAGGCTTACCATGAGCAGCTCACTGTGTCTGAGATCACTAATGCTTGCTTCGAGCCGGCCAATCAGATGGTGAAATGTGACCCACGTCACGGCAAGTACATGGCTTGCTGCCTGCTGTACCGTGGTGATGTTGTGCCCAAAGATGTGAACGCTGCAATCGCCACCATCAAGACCAAGCGCACCATCCAGTTTGTGGACTGGTGTCCCACTGGTTTCAAGGTTGGCATCAACTACCAGCCTCCCACTGTGGTTCCAGGAGGTGATCTGGCTAAAGTGCAGAGGGCCGTGTGCATGCTGAGCAACACAACAGCTATTGCTGAGGCCTGGGCTCGTCTGGATCATAAGTTCGATCTGATGTACGCCAAGCGCGCCTTTGTGCACTGGTATGTGGGTGAGGGTATGGAGGAGGGCGAGTTCTCAGAGGCCAGAGAGGACATGGCTGCCCTGGAGAAAGATTACGAGGAGGTCGGAGCTGAAAGTGTGGACGGAGAAGATGAGGAGGGTGAAGAATATTAGAAATGCTTCTCCCTTCCACTGTCTGTTCTGTTTCTTGTCTATTGTCGTTTTTATGTTTCCTTTTTCTTCACTTTCCAGCTGTCAACTGGCTAAAAGGTCAATGTGACAAGCAGGGCACTGCCTCATTCTCTCTTGACCCGCCCTGCTCGTCACAGTCAATCTTGCACATTATCAGTCCCTCCAGAAAAACGTGATTATGCGATCCATGAATTCAATGCATAATCAGCCAAAGTCCACACATTTATGCGGGGCCACATTTTTTTCAAATACGACGCACTTTCGCTGCATAAATTGCAGATTTCCGTGCAAAATATGTGGGGCTTGCATGATTTCTTAATCCTCTCATTTTCGATGCAAAAAAGTCACATATATCTTAGCAGAAAGTTGAAAAATATTGCGATTGCTTGACACAAGATTAGCCATTTCCCCCTGTTTCCATGGGAACGTTATGAAGTGATGCAATTACGCGACAGGATAGGTCACAGCTGAAGGTATTGCAGAGGCCAGACAGACTCGCGGAGGCATCTCACAACTCGCTCTTTATTCCCAAATCGAAGTCTGTGACACGTTCTAGTACCGTCACAAAGTTACTTAATAAACAAAATAAGATAAAAGTAGCATCAAACAGAAATTACCTGCACACATGGGGTGTTCAAGGCGCACGTATAACACTGCAGACGGTTCAACAAGGGGCGCGCAGCTCTTAAAGGGGCTACACCTTATTTACACTCGTTACAGTCTGAAATAAAATTAAATATTCCCAGCACTTTCTATGATAATGACTCTTTACATTAATGATTAAGGTAGTAGCCTAGTGAGAACAGGGTGTTGGAGGAACTTTTTTTTTCTCTTTTTCATCAAACCGCAGTTTTTGCAAGTTCTCGCACTTTCATCGCATAAAATTGCATAAATATCCCGCATATTCCATCGCATTTTTAAAGAAAATGGGCCGCATAATCAAGGATTTTTGCCTGCAACAATCACAAAAAACTACATTTTTCTGGAAGAACTGTATTATGCTCTTAAAAGAAATAAAAGGTTGTATAATTACATGTTCTCCTGTTTTCATTACTGTCTGATGAGCCTATACTTTATCCCCATCTCTTGAGGATGCATCTTTGTTGAATTGATTGATTTTAGGTAAATTTTACGCCACAGGTTAAGCGAGTTGATTTCTTTCAATACATCATACAGTGATTTTTTTTTTTTTTTTTTTTAAATCGTCATTTTAAATATTGAATGCTCATTCACGCCAGTGTAATTTTGAGTGTTGTATGATCTGTCTGCTTTGTTTTGAAGGCAGAGGGCAGTATTGCTGTACAAATGGCAGTTTTAATATGTTGAACAGACTCAGTGCAGCAGAGGAATTAAATGTGAATTGACCGATCTGTCTTGTAAGCTTTCTATTGCTTCTGCAAATGCTTAAGTGTTGACGACTTACCATTTTATCAGAGTGAAATATTCTTTCATGTTCCAGAGTAATTGGTGTTAGAAGAGGCCTGTCAACCAACCTAATCTAAAATTGGGCCTGGCATTCAGACCCTGTCAGGCGAGAACATGTCAAGCTGGTGGACAGGTGGAGTTTAATTATATATTCTTTGTTCCCACTTGCTGCTTCTTCAACGAGAGAAGATTCAGCATAATGGTGAACGTGATTTCACCAAGTAACACATGTTCCTTTTGGATCATCATCTTTGTTGATCCTGGATCAACTTTCCAATCAACCAATCAGATTTGAGGGACAAATTTACAGTTTGTGAAGTTTAGGTTTAGAACCATGGGGAAGTACTTAAACATCAGTGTTATTCACCAATCATTACCCTATTATTTTAGGAGAAAGTAATGGGTAGGTTTAGGGTTGGGGATTGGGTAAGAACTACAGTTTGGGACAGAAATGTTGATCCAGGATTAGCAAAATATGTATATATTATATATAATATATCTTATACATCTTATCTTTTATATATATATATATATATATATATATATATATATATATATATATATATATAAAACTTAAAAGTAAAGAGATTGACAGATGTGCAGTTGAAGAAAATTTATTTGAATTGTGGTGAATTTTCTTTTATTGTAAGAAAACCAAGTAATGAAAGGTAGGCCTATCATAACCATGCTGAATACTATTTAATTATTAGCTAAATGTAATGCATATGCAAGTCATGTTACAGAAACCATCTGATGAGCAATTTGTATTTGTACAGCTTGAACTACAATTCTCTTTGAGAATACAACATTTATTCTCAACAAATACATCTTTGAACTTTTAAGGTTGCAAACAGTGCAAAAATCTAAATGTAGTGAATTTAAAGCAAAAGGGTTAAAACAATGGGTTAAAATCTGTACTTTGAGTCTGTAATTTGTAAATTCAGAATTAGTCAGCTACAACTTCTAGATATGACTATAACACCCCTTTATTTAATAATAAATAAGGTTTTGGACAGTTAACAGTATTGCCAATAAGACCTTTACAAATTTGAGGTAATATTTACTGGTTTACAAAGGGTAAATTGAGGATTTCTATCTACTGCATTAGATAAAATAATGTAATGTGCATTTTTCTGATAATGTACATAATTTAGAAATGTACAAAAACACTCAAATGTCCACACATGCATAAAAGATTTGGGACATGTACATTTTCACTTTTGTTGCACAACCTGGTTTAGACATTCTCAAATCTCTTGCATTCTGTTTTATGTTTAATGCAGGCAGAAAAAAAATGCTGAAGAACCATCACAAATTCACAGTACAACAGTTTTAGAACCACAAAACCTGTTCTTTTCTGGTTGCATTCAGTAAATAGTGGTATTTTAATATTCTTGTTTAAATTCTCTCATGGCAACTTTTAGAGGCTCTCTCAATAGGGATTCTTCAGCTTAATAAAATAAAACTTTTATCGTCATAAATCTCATTTCCATATTAAACCGTTCTCATAACTTTTTTTTTTTCAGCCATGTTATTATTAGTCTTGCAGGGGAGACTTTAAGACATTGAATGTGCATACAGCATCTGAGATTGTGATGCATGACACTACCTGGTGTTAAAGCATAAGTGCACTGGTGGATTTTATATTTGTTCTAGCCATTTAAAAAAAAAAAAAAGGGAAAACAGTATTGACCCATTTCGTAATGTCATAACTATTTGTTTATTCTCCAAAGATGAATATTACGTGCTAAATGACATATTCTGCTCTATAGGATATGTGACATGATGTGAATGTGCACAATGTAAATTAGCCCTTATTATAGATGATTTGCTTCCAGCTGCATTAGATTTCAACAAAACTGTTAAATGCAGCAGTACCTTTCACAAACAAAGCAAATGCTTTATTTTATAATGTTCAGGCACTGGGACACACCGATCATTTGCGAGCACTCGGTCCAACTGCAGATGGCAACCATCTGAGTAGCTCAGGAGGGCTGTACTGAAACTGGATAATGCAACAACAGAGCCGTTAATGGAGCGCAGTGCATCCTCACAGCTCCCCACGGTAGTTTCTTTCACCTGGATGGCTTTGGCTAGAAAAAGGTGTGTGTAATAATACCCACAGTGATTTTACAAGGGGAAAAAAACACAGTTGCATTTAATAAATACACTCAAAATTGGCAGAATAGAGGTAGGATATGTAGCAGCTTACCTTAGGCTTTGTCATCTCAAGACAAGATGTGAACAAAAAGAATTGCCAAACCAATATTCAGGAATATAACCATGCAGATCATAATCGTGTTTGGCCCCTAAGAAAAAAAAAAAAAAAAAGAGTTCACAACCCTTAGTGTCTGTTATGTGAAGTATAATAATCACATGATGGTTATCCAGGTGGCATTTACTTGTGGAATTGCTCTAAGGCCACTTTACGGCAGTTTAGCTCCAACTTTAAATAAACAAATCTGAACCAATAAATCAGGGTTCCCCAAACTCGGTCCTGGAGGGCCACTGTCCCTGCAGAGTTTAGCTCCAACCCTGATCAAACACACCTGAGCAAGCTAATCAGGGTCTTCAGGATCAGTAGAAACTCACAGGTAGGTGTGTTTTATACTCAGCAGGGACAGTGGCCCTCCAGGACCGAGTTTGGGTAAATCAAGCCTGTTCAGGGTTGCTAGAAATTTCCAGGCAGGTGTGTTGGAGCTAAACTCTGCAAGAAGGTGGCCGTTGTCTTAGAGCAGTCCAATCCTGCTCCTGTAGGGCAAGTGTTTTGGGGTAGGTTGGAGCTAAACTCTATACAGGACACTGGCCCTCCAGGAGCAGGATTGGACACCCAATGTTTAAGAGGAACCATATATAAAATCCCGAATTTTTCAGATGCAACAGGTAAAAGTCCTCTGCTTGCGAATAATTTTTTTCTTCCATTCTAGCAGCTGATCGGTGTGGTGTATGCTCGGTGAGCCACAAGATGCTGCTGTGACGCAATGCAATACTGGATTTCTCACAGACCACAAGAGGCTTTCTGAAGGTGAGAATTTGTTATTTTGAGGGTTCAGCCTTGAATAGATATGCCTGATTGTGAAAAATGTGGTCAGAGGACCGGGGCCAGGGCCAGGGCCAGATTTAAAGGGACAAAATCTTTCTCTACTCAAGAGCTGTTTTGAAGAATGAGCTTTCTCATTCCATGGCCCAATGGAAGGACATCTGAAACTAAGATAGGCAGGACACTAAATTGAGATTTACTGATTAATGCAAGAAAACCGGCAAAGGTTATAAAAAGCAATTTTGTTTTTGTTATGCTATGCAAGTCTGGAAGTATGTGTGCAATCTTTGGGATGTCTAGTTGGATTGAAATCTTCATTGAAAAGACCAATTGAGACCTTACTTGTTATCACAAAGAATCTCAAGGTTTGATTCGTTAGCCTTACCTCATCTAGCTCCAGAGACTCTTGTATGGCTTCACTGGGGGCTTTCACAATAGACCTCTGCCTCGCCTCAATTTTGGCCTCGACCTTGGCAACTGGTTTAGCAACCGGCTTGACAACAGGTTCTTTGGGTTCTGGCTTAGGCACGGACTTGGGCTCAGGCTTTGGTGCAGCTTTTGGGGCAGGGCTTGGTTCTCGTTTCAGTGAAGGTTTAGGCTCAGCCTTGTTGGTTAATTTCTTCTCCTCCCTGACTTCTGTCCAAGACCTAGGCCTGATTTCTGTCATCGAAGCTGGGCGCTCATTTACAGGCTCCCTTATTTCAGCTCTATGTTTGACTTCAGCTGCCTTTGGCTCTGGCGTGACTGCTTTGGAGGACTGCTTAGGAGCAGGGTGAGATGCTTCTTCTTCGTCAGTGGGGCGGACGAGGCTGGTTCTTACTGGCATTGCAGCAGTGACGGGTTCTGCTGCTTTTGACTCTGAGG